CCGGCCGTGCGGGGAGGAAGGGAGGAGCCGAGGGCGGGAGGAAGCTGAGGCGTGGGAGCGGCTGCCGCCCTCAGGCTGAGGGGGTGGGCGCCGGCCGGCTCCTGGCCCGGCTCCGACAGTAGGTGGTGGTGTGAGCCCGGGGATGGCGTAGGGGAGCCCGGGGATGGCGAGGGGAGCCCCTCAGCCCGCGCAGCTGAGGGGAGGGCGGCTCCGCGGAGGGCGCCGGCGGCCGCCATTCCCCGCTGAGGCGGCAGCGGGTCGGGTCAGGCCGCGGCGGCAGAGGCGTCTCTGTGACACACAGTTTCACAGAAATTTGGGCCAAAATAGCCTCGGAGTTGCATTAAACCCGCGTCAAAGCTGCCGTGCGGGCATGTGGGAGCTAGGCAGTCCTTTCCCGGCGCTCGCTCCTCCTGTGCCAGGGGGCAGCTTTGCTTTCCTGACAGGGCAGCATCTTTTCGGAGCCCTTACTAGTGATGGTGCCAAACTCAAAGTAGGAGAAGTAGGAGGAAATTAAAAATTTAGGGGTTTTTCCCCTTCAGGTAATAGTCCCTGACCCCAACAAACCACAGAAGCAGTAACCACAAAGTACTTTTATAACATGAAAAAGTGGACTTCATTCAGGCTTCTTTTCAATGGACGTTTTGGTGAAGTAAAACTTAAGATGAAGGCAGTACTAACTTGATGTTACCTACGTGATCTGGAGCAACTGGAGCCCTGACTATGGCCGAGCCCTGACTGGTGTCAGCTGCACCTTGGTATCTGGTGTGAGAAAGCAGAAGTGACATTTTGGGTCTCAGTAGTTGTCTCTGCAAATTGTGTCCTTACCATCCTTTTAAAAGAACGCAAGCCTGGTCAGAATATCATCATTCCCCCCACACAAGTGAGTAATTACACGGGGTACACGTAGAAAAGCGTTCCAACCTTGATCTTGCATTGTAGCTTGGCAGGTGGTTCATATCACTGCTTCAGTGGATGAAGGCTGCTTTTACTGAACCTATCATTGGGACATTTAGTTAAATATCATCACAAGCAGCACATTTCATTTACTTTCTAATTCTCAGTGTTAGGAAGATTTTAACTCTGTGGGCCCCTGGGGCTACTGATACAGCGTTTTGCCTTTTGGGATACACTCAATTCCTCCCAGTACTAAGGTGTTTAAACGTGTTGGCTCTTGCAAGGTAGGGTGTTTGGTTCCACCTACTGTCTGATTTGGGAAGCTCCTTGTTTTATTGATCAGCACGTGGACCTTGATCTCTCCTTTGATGGTATACACTCACTTTTGCTTCCACCTGCCCTGTAACTTGAAAAACTCGTTGTTTCATTGATCTAATGGATGAGATTGTATTTGGTAATAAAGTAGGTCTGGGGTTTGACCCTATTTAGGATATTAGATAAACCTCTGAAACTTTAGAATTATTCAAACTGGGAACTGTATTACCTAGATGACAGTTAATTCTGCTCACTGTAGACACTGTTACACTTCATTGTGTTGATATTACATGCTAGAAGAATAGACGTAAATAAACCAGAAAATTGGAGGGACATTTTTCCTTCTTTTTTTACAGTACGTTTTGTTCAAGAGAGAGGAAAAAACCCAGACTCCAAAACAACCCCAACCCTGAATTTGACCGTGAACCAGATGCTGAAGGGAGGGGAAAAGAGGCTTTGTTTATGCCTAGTATCCTAGAGAAACCATCCAAGAACGTCATTCTTAGATAAAGAAGGTCCAAGACACATTGCCAAGACTGATAGAATCTCAAGTTATCTGCCATATGAGCACTGGTACTGCAAGTTCCAGTTGCCCAATGTCAAGCTCTTTTTTTTACCTTGCAGCATAAAAAAAAAATAATTCATATGCCTCAGACCACATCTTATTTAAGAAAAAAACCCAGATATTGAGAAATAAATGGGCATAAATAAAATTATGATACATCAGTCAGAATTATGTAAACTCATGAACCTTTTGTTCTCACTAGCAAGCTTACTTGGCAATTCCTTTAAATGGAACTGAGGTTCTAGTCAGAACAGAGTTGGCCCCAGCTTCAGTTAAATACCACAGGCTTTAGCTATACTCCCACACAGGTTTTCCTCTCCATTCTATAGACAACAAGTTTCCTTCTTGAAACCATTCTGTTAACAACATCTGTGAGATGGGATGATAAAGCAGTTTTAATGTAATGCTCTCTTCTTATTAACTGAGGAAAACTTTGGAACTCAGATAGCTTTCATATCCTTGCAAATCAAGAGTAGTTTAAACAGTTTTAAAATATTCATACTTCGGGGTTTTTTTTGATAACCAGCATAAATCTGTAAGTGATGAAGCAAAATTAGTTCTGCTACATCTCAGCATTCTTCTTACTGTTCTATTTCCACTTTGGAACTTGTCTGGTAGATCTAATGAATCTTTCAGAGCATATTTAATGCTTCTAAACAAAGAGTGCTTAGCCAAGGTTCCCCATGGTACGCTTTCCCTTGGCTGAGTACACGGGGACCATTGTTACCAAGCTGGTTTTGGTCCTCACATTCTCTCATTGCTCCTTTGGAAACCCTCCACAGAAATTCATTTCTCTAGCTTACCTAACTGACAATTCAAACTATGACTGCAAGAAAGTTTTCAGAAGTTTGCAAAGATACTGATGCCTAATTTGCATTACTTCTGAGCAGATTCCCAGGGCTGCTGGTCACCTGGAACTATTGCTGGCTGAAAGGACCCAGGGGTTCTGAAGTAGGGATGAGTAGTCTCTGCGCTTACTGAGAACTGGGGATGAATAAAACCACTGGCAGGTTAGATCTTTACTGTCCAGCCTAAAGTCTGATTTAGAACTCCCACCTGATAATTTGAGAGATTTCAGTAAAGTACCAGAGGACTGCATTACAAACAGTTTGGAACACCAAGTAACAGCCATAGAGAGAAGTTTTGCCTTGTGGTCCAATGGCTTCTTGCAATCTGTACACTTCTCAGGTAACTAAGCAAAGTAACTAGAAAGCAAGATTAAATGTGCCTTACAGAGACACAAGGAATTCAAGCCCTCTAGGGAGAGACAGCGTATTGTGTGAGACCATCCAATAAATTTACATAGTCAAGCTCCATCATATCTGCCTGGTTCTCACAGCTGGTGTAATACAGGTATTACTTCTCCCTTTTTTTTTTTTTTTTTTTCCTTCCCCTGGTAATAATTTAACTTACTAACAAGGAAAAATAAATTAATGATCACGAGCTTTTACTGTCTAGTGCCTTGCTTTCTATGCCAAGAAAACAAAGCTGCAGAGATCCAGTGGGTCAAACGTACTCCTAATGCTGGCAGCAGGTGTTTATATTAAGCTGTTGTTAGAGCGGGTCTGTTCCAGGTGCAGAGCAGGCACCTGACCTAGGAATGCCCTGGATTATGTCTAGTCCTCAGATCAAAAGCATAGACCATCTTTCTGCTGAACTTCCTTTTTTAATAGTTTTTATTTCAATCTCTGTCACATTTCTGTTTATTTTTTCAGTTGCATCTTCTGACTTTGTAGCTGTGTTCTTCATCCAGCTAAGTGCTAGAAGAAAGAACTTTGCAACGTGAAGATGACATTATGCTGAAGGCTATCAAGATCCTGTCATTCCTGAAGATGTATGTGTAAACATCTGCACCATAAAGCAGCTCCAGATGGGAATTTTTACCAAGTTTTAGAAAATGTGTCAGAGAGGGGGGCTGGAAAACCAGAGACTGCTCAGAAACATACTGATGTGAGCTTGTGACTAAAATTTCCTCGCTATCCCCCAGCCTCGACTTCCCCCCTGCTCGCTTGCCTTTCAGGCTGCCAGGACAATTAGGGTTTTCGATTCAGTCATGCCAAACAGGACCGACAGTCACCATGACAAGAAAGCTTGGTCAGTATGTACAGCAGCTACGCTGAGAAGTTTTGGAGATGTCTTTTAACTACAGATGAAGATCTGGGTGTGAATTCTCAGTAAGGGCTCCTTTTCTGAGAGGCAGCAGATGTCAAAAACAATCTGGACAAGCTGTAGATACTTCTGGAAGAGGCAAGGAAAAAAGAAAACGTAAGTCTGCTTGTGATTATTGCAATGTAACAGTCTCAGTATCCCTAGAAAGCATGCAGATTGACACTGAAAGGGTAAATAAAGTCCTTGACTTCCTGACAATAACTCCTTGGATTCACTTACAGGTCTAATGAGCCAGGAAGGTTTTATGTGTCAAAAATTACTGGATGACATGAAGGAAAGTTGGTGCATTCACAGATTGAGCCAAATCAGTAGCACTGTCAGAGAGTAGGAAATGTTATCTCTGCTCTGTTCGTGTCGGATAGGGAAATGGTACCCATTGCATGTACTCGTGTTCTTTACAAGGACCAATTTTCACTTTCACTGGAGACACTCAGTTTGCATTTTGGAATGCATGAGCCGTCTTCACTCATGTCACTATATCCCTGAAGCAGGGCCTGTTATTTCTCTGTTGCTGTGATGTTGTGCTAGTTCTGCTACAGAGCACGTCAGACTGAACGTGAATTGAGAACCGACTTCAGCAGTAATAGATTTAAAGGTCAGAAGAAGGGAGGTATCCATGAACTAGGGTGGCAGAGGTTTCTAGGTGTAACCTTGCGCCGTTGAAGTTGCAGAAATGCAGCAAGACAGGCGTAGATTCTCATCTCAGTTTGAGTTTATTGAGCTGAAAGCTGCTTCTCACACTCCTAGTTGATGAGGAAGCGCTTGGGCTGCCTTTGTTTGCTCTGCGTTAGTCGGGTGGCCAAACCCAGAGCAGCACAGAGGAGAGCAGCAGGCAGACAGGTGGAAAGACCATCACTTGTTTTTTCCCCCTTCCAAATCATCTCGGTGTCCCGTTCGCTGGGATCCACTCCCAGGTGCACGCCGAGCCTCTGTCCGGACGCCTCGGCGATAGCGCTGGGAGCCGCTGGGCGGC